TTCCTCTTTTTTTGTGTATTGCCCCTTTCAGGGCCTGCTCAAGCCTTTGGTTGCTTTATGCGTTTTGTGAGTGTGTGGTAGTCGTATTAGTACACTACTTCAGTTGCTTAGAATTTGCAAACCTGACACCCTTTCCCCCTTCCTTGTAATTAAAAACGTTTCTGCTAGCCTGAAGCTGTTAAATTTGGTTTGAGAGCCTTTCTTTTTGTTACCAAGTGTCGTGGGTTTGGCTGGGATATGGTTAAGTTTCTTAGTGCTGACTGGGAATAAACCACCACACCAAGCTATTGATATTTCTTCAGTTTCTGTTAGCCAGAGGTCAGTGGGCAAAAGGTAAATCGTAGGTTCCCAATAGTTTATGCTGCAGACTTTTCTTGACATAGCTGTCTCAATCAGGAAGAATAGCATCCCTGACAGTATCTTAGCTGTGTTAATGTATAATTTACTGATACAATTTGTTCTTGGGTCCATAGTGGGATTTGGTTTTATGGCTGTGTTGGAGTTTGTGCTGGCAGTATGGGGCTCCTTGTATGGGTGTAACTTTCAGGAATGATTCAAGCCAAGAGCTAAGAAAGATTTTAAGAGAAACAATGTTGGTATGGATATTGTAATAGACAGTTGTCTGAAACTATTTTTTATAATATAACAGCCTCACATTTCAGAGTCTGAGCCAATCTATGAAAAATTAGGGCTATGGCTCCCCTTTATAATTGGCAGGTAGAAAAGCATAGATTATCCCACTCTTTCCTGTTAGATTGCAAATAATTGTTTGATGTGTGGGGAGCTTGGACTCAACTGAAGGATTGTGTCCATGTGAATTGTTTAAAAATGTGATTTAGTATAGTCAGTGTGCTCTGTTAAATTTGACGTAAGTGCAGTTGTGTCTTGATGCTGATGGAATCTCTGTACTAGTGGGTGATCTGGCATTGCCAACTGTGGAACTGTGTCTTGATGTACTAGCAAGAGCAGGTCCATCTGGGCAGTTCCACTTTATTGCTGCAGTGAAAGTTGTTGGTCCTGCTAAAGGATACTGAATATTTCTTTTTCTTTCTCTAATGTTTTTTCAAGTTATGCAGATTCTGGATAAAAGCATAACTGTAACTTCTAATGTGTCCTGTGGGACAGTGTATGGCTTGTTTCTATTAATTCAGTGGTTTAGAATGTGGTGTCTGAAGTAGATCCATGTGTATGAAAGTAAACCCTCCTGATTAAGTCTTTACTGATTCTGCTTTTATTCTTTTCTTATTGTTCCACGGTATTAAATTAACTGTAATTTTGTGTATTTCTAATAGGTACCAGCTTCTGTAGTCCAGTTTAATAATTAAACTTCTAAATTAAAAACTACTACTGTATGTAAGCATGAGTGAGTGCTGTTTGTTTAAGCAAAATATGTTTACTTCAGCTTTTTGTGAAAAATTAGTGAATGCTGTTTGACAGTTCCTGTGTATGGTTTTTGGGGATCAGGAGGTATTTGTCAGTAAAATCCATAGTGAAGTAAGCTTTGCAGATAAATTTAAAAGAAGTTGGGGTGCAGGCTGCATTTTTTTGAGGTTTTGTTGTTTGTTTGTTTGTTTTGTGGTTTTTGTTTGTTTTGTTTGGGTTTTTGTTTATGGTGGTTTTTTTTTTTTAATCTGGATGAACCCTGCTATATTTCCACATGGAGAGCCTTAGTCCATGATTGTGAATAGCTGTGGTGGATGCAGTGTTGTACCTAGCAGTTAATCGCAACCTATTGAGGGGAGCTTGCCATGCCTATGGCTCTGTCAATGATAAAATCAAATGACTGCTTTAATTCATTTGAAAGAGAGAGGTATTAGCTGGGGGGTGCCTGCTACAAGCAGTAAAAACAACCTGTCTGCACGTGTCTGAAGCTGGTTAGTGGTCTCATCAGCAAGTGGAACTGGGTAGAACAGTATTTGTCAGACCCATAGTGGAGAAAGGCTAGAGGCTTTTCTCTCTTTAATTGCCACTGCATGTTCCAGAAGGTACACCTGAGGTCTGGTAGTCAGCTGGAGTGGTGGTGGTGGTGGTTTCTGTTATCTCCTGTTGTTTATGAGCTGCAAACTGGAACAGAAGGATGTTTTTTCATTGTCCAAATCCTGTGAATGAAATCCTCATTCTTTCTCAGATTCTGTTGAGGAATATTTCTGAGTTTTTAGCAAATATTTGATGAATTTTGTTGCCTGGATTAAAGACAAAACTGCAAGTTGTGTATACACCATTAACACACAATTTAAACTGTGCGTTCTAGAATACATGAAATAGGGAGAACAAGATTTCTTTACCTTATACTAGAAGCAGCCTTAATTTCCAGAAGAGCAAGACCACCATTACCAGATCTTCTACATAGAAGTGCTTGCTGTTGTTTTACTGGAAAGAAGGTGCAATGTTGTAATGTATTCCATTCTTCAAGCTAGAGAGGTATTATGGAAAGGTTATGGCATGACCAAAGCAAATATGTGGAGTGTAGTAGTGTGCCCAGGCGGGCATTCAGGACAGCATTAACATTTAATTCCAGTTCATTTTGCTGATATCTTCTAAGACTGAAATTATAAAGATAAGGGTTTTTGTTTTGGTTTGGTTTGGTTTTGTCCTGGTTTCTCCTGGGTTAGAGTTAATTTTTGTCCTAGTAGCTGGTGCAGTGCTGTGTTTTGGCTTTAGTCTGAGGGCAGTGCTGATAATACATGTATGTTTTAGTTGTTACTGAGCACTGCTTACTCTGATCAAGGGCTTTTCAGTCTCATGCTCTGCCAGTGAAAAGGGGCATGAGAAGCTGGGAGGGAGCAGAGACAGGACACCTGACCAAAACTAGCCAAAAGGATATTCCATACTGCAGCACATCATGTGCAGTATATAAACTGGGGGGAGTTACCCGGAAGGCCCAGATCACTGCTCAGGCTGGGTTGGGTATTGGTTGGTAGGTGGTCAGCAGCTATGGCTGTAAACCACTGGAAAAGTCTTAATATTTGGATGCTAAAGTACATGGGGTTTTGGGGGTGGGAGTTGCCTGTGGGTTTATTTTGTTTAAGGCTCCATGTACCAATCAGAAGCTACTCAGCCATATAATGCAAAATGACATTTAACAGAAGTTCATCCTGCTGGTTTAAATTTTTGTTTGTTTTAAAGATAAGCATTACCCTTTTCCTGGTATACATAGATACGTAAATGTACAGATATAATGTTAATAACAAGTCAGGATGGGACCAGAAGAATGGGCAAATGAATTTCAATGAAAATTTTCAGAAGGATCTATGCAGAAGTATTGAAAAGTTACCTGCTCATTTGTGTACTGTGCTAGTACTTTCAGTTAGTCATATGTGAACTCTTACTTGTGAAGATAAGCTTCCTGAGTAATTTAACTCCGCAAAAACATCATATTTTTACATTGAAGTTGTCTGAATTTTTGCTGCCATGGTTGCACTTTCATGCTAATACTTGTCAGATCTCCCTGTGAGCTGGGCTGGTTTGTTAAGCTGTCAGGAGACTAACCAAACTGTATAATTTTCTGATCAGTTAGCAAGCTGAAGTAGCTCATTATGGGCTCAGATGAGTTGCAGTACCAAAGCCAGAAGGGAGGTGAGACCGTAAATGAGTGATTTGATTTCCTTGTGCTGTCCTAATTCTATACTCTTAATGCTTTTCTCTGTGAATATGGAGAACTTGGAGGCATTTGCTTCTGCAATTTTTAGGAGCCCCTCCCTAGTCTGTGTTATTAAAAAAAATATTAATAATTTCAGCACAGATAAGAGAAACCACAGTTATGCAAGATAAGCTATTTGTGTAGTTGCTGAAGGATATGTTTATCTATGCTGGTCTATATATATATCTATTCACTAAATAATCATATTGTATAATATTGGACTTCATTTTTTTGCATAGAGACAGCTTGGAATGCAGACTAGGGTGATGTAATACCCAGGTGACTATGAATGAAATCCCAGTGACAGCCTAACCCTGTATCATTTTCAAACTTGCATAGTGTGTATTCCTTGCTAACAACTTTGTATGTACCCAGTCTTAGTTTTCTAGACTACCTGTATGAGAAAGAATCTGTAGTAAAAGTAGTAAAAGTATGGTGTAGAAAACACCATAGCTCTAAGCAGCTATAAGAAGGTGGAAGTTTTATTGTATTGTGATATTGTTACTACATCATTGTGCGTATTTCATTTGAAAATAAACACATACCATGATGGCATGTACAGGTGTTGATTAACTTTGTTCCCCTCATCAGTGCTGAAATACCATTTTAGCTTCTGTGCTACAAAGCAGTTAAGCATCCACTTGTTTAATACCTGTCAATATCTGTCTGTTTTCATGTATAATAATCAAAATCCAGTCATTAAAGTTCAGTAAGTGAACATTACTTGGCTCTCATTAGAGGCAGTGCATCTTCACATTCTCTTGTGAATATGTCATTATCTCTTTTTATAACCTAATCAGTGTTTCTGTGCCTTTTTTTTTCCTCTGTTAAGTGGGAATAATAATCGCTAGTTTAAAAAGACTTGATTTTTAATTTGTTTTCATATATTAAAGGGTTTTTTAAATCAAGTGAAATCAAGTGAAAATGTTTCAGTCTTTCTCACAGTTTACATTTATTAAGATAATTTGTGCTAAATATTGCATTCTTCACTTTTGGAGGCAAGTTGCTATATCAGTTTTATGTGGATTTTAGTTGAGAACTTGACAGACAGTGTATTGACTTTGAAATGTACTGACTTTAAGCAGCACTGAGCTTGGGAAAAAGAATTGGAATTTAGCCATCTCAAACTAAGGAGAGCTTTCTTGTTTTTTGTAGTTTGTATTGCTGTCATTTGGTAGTAACTAGCTTCTGGTGAAGTGGTTAGTTGCCTCAAAACAATTTGAGTGCTACATAAATTAGCAAGAAGTATTTGTTCTGCTTTGAAAGTATATTTGCTAGTGCATAATATATAAAAGCGTTGAAATGGATTACTTTTTCCTTAATGTGAGCAGTATTAATTACATTCTTCCCTTTTCTGTAGTTAAAGTACCTCGTAATTTTCGCTTGTTGGAAGAACTTGAAGAAGGGCAGAAAGGAGTAGGTGATGGTACAGTAAGCTGGGGCCTTGAAGATGATGAAGATATGACACTCACCAGATGGACAGGAATGATTATTGGGCCACCGAGGGTGAGTGTCATGAATCAAAATGTTTCTAAGTTTGTAGGCAATACAAAATGAAAAAAAAAAGTAAAAATAAAAAGTCACTTTTTATACAGTGTAAGGAAATTAGTTAAAGTTCAATGTATGAAGTTGTAGAAACGCTGTATATTCGTGTTGGAATTCATCACTTCCTGGTGTGCTAGTGTTTTCAGTCTAGCCTCCCATAGTACATGTTTCTGCAGCTGTCCATATGAACGATTTGTGATTTGAGACTTCTTACTGACTTAAGAATATATTCAGTCTGTTTTTCTACCATTATTTAACATAAGTGTACAATAATGGTACAGTAAACAGGGTAACTGTCTTTCCAGTTTATCGTATGTGCCTAGTGGTTTCAGTTCTGTAGTAAACTGGCAATACATTTTCAGCTTTCACAAGTTTTATCAAATAGTCTTTCAGTCTATCAGTTTTTGCATTTCAGTTGAATCATGCCTAAAGACCAAGAAGTTTTTAGTTGCCTCTAATGAGATGAAATATGTACACAAAGTTCATTCCCTTCTGACCTTTTAAGCTCTGTAGGATGTTACCTAGACCGATAAAACCTGCAAGAGAAGTGATTATCTCTTGTGGCTTGAGTATCAGCCTCCTCAGAGATGAATGTACACTTGACTTTTGTGTACATTTTCCCATGAGTTACAATATGCGATACAAAAGATCACTGTTTAAGTGAGAATTTTAAATGAGTATACTTCAAGTAACTCTAAATTATCTTATGTCTTTCACTGCTAATGTGAGGTTTCTATGCTGTATGTCCTTCAGTGCTGCAAGGCATATTGAAAGAACTATGCAAGACAAGAACCGAGATCAGATCTTACCCTCAGATAATGTCTTTCAGAATAAGAGAATTCTAGGTTCAGTGTAATTCAAGCTCCTTGTGGAAGTCAGGGTTAGTTGCAGCTGGCAGCAGGCTGTTTTGAACATCTGCATAATTGTACTGAGCTCCTAAAATTTGGGTGCATTTGAGAGAGAACCAGTTTCAAATGTAAGCATAATGCTCTGTGGTCTTAGGGGTTTTGAAAACGATTTTCAGATGTGACCCAGGTAGTGTCTCCTTGACTTTCCAAAGAGCCTATAGAACTGCTTGTGACTTGTTTTTTGTTCAGCCTAAGGTGGATGCCTAATACATCTTTGAAGGGTGTGATCATCCCATACATTTTTAAAAAACCTCAACCAAACTGGGATACTTTTAATTCTAGCCTATTTATATTGTTGTCATTTTATTTGCTCTATATGAAAGAATGCATATAAGTAATATTTTGGGTCATTTCAGAGACTTGCAGTCTTGCTAATAAAATGTGTTGCAGTATGCAGTCATTGTATAAAGTTAAGGCCACCAGCTCCAGATCCAGTAATGGCACCTTGAGAAGAATTGCATATCCAGTTTCAGGGTTTGTAGAAGGTGTGTGGTTTTGGAATTGACTGAGTTATGTAGGCAGCGTGCAGCTAGGCAGAACACAGAGAAAGTTGCTAATACTGTCTGCAGCATGAAGTTCTTTTCATACGTGGCTTCTTTAGAGCTGTGCGAAAGTTCCCTATCACTTTTTTCTCTTGCATAGAATCATATAATAGTTAGGGTTGGAAAGGACCTTAAGATCATATAGTTCCATGCTCCCCTGCCATGGGCAGGGACACCTCACACTAAACCATGCCACCCAAGGCTTTGTTTAGTGTTTTTGCTTCATTGAAAGGTGAACCAGTGTGGAGGGAGGAAGGGAGGATTTGGTTTGGATTAAAGGAAAAATCTTTAATATCCCACCACTCTTCCTTATACCCCAGAAATGGGGTTTTGGGGGAATTGGCCTGGAGGGTTGGCTGGCAGTAAAACAGTGACTTGAAAAACTGAGCAAAATTGAGAAGACACACGGGTAGGAAGGAAGGGAGTGAGGAGGAGTGCTATTCCTTAGGATTTTTCAGAGTTGTGAGCAGTGTATATACATTTTGTCCTATTTCTACTGTAACTGACAGCATCCCTCTGTGTCCAAGTAAGTGGTTTTATTTGAGTGAGTAATGAGAGTTTTTGTTACTGTGTTTTCTTCTTGTAGCAGCTATGTTACCTGTAGCAGGACAAGATTACTTATAGTGGGCCTTCAGCTTTTAATGGGAAAGAATAATAGAAAACCATTTTTCTAACAAAGGATGTCCTGCTTTGCCTTGTTTCTTTCTGACCCACTTGCTGCTCAGTCTGTGTGGCTTCTTGAAATTGTAGGACACAGAGTGCTTCAGTAATCTGATTTCCACTCTGCCTTTTGAATTGACCAGAGTGGACTAACTTGACTGTGTGGTTGATATTGGAGAAATGACAGCTGGCCGATGCAGAACAGCTTAGAAATAGTGCTCCTGGAAAGTTACAGGCATATTATTGCTGTTGGTTTGCATTAGCCATATCTGTTGTGCCAGTTGAAAGACAGGTGTAGAAACTGGGTTTATCTTTTCTTTGGAACAGAGAAGCAATGACTGGCAAAGCCACTGATACTTTTAATTGTGCATGGCCTGCTTGAAAAGATTAAAAGAAGATAGAACTGTATTAATTTCTAATTTGACTTTCTCACAATGTATTTGTATTTAGAATTATCTCTTCCATGGTCACTCTGGGGTGACATCTCTGCAAACTAGTTATCACATCACTGTCCAAAGTTCATAAATTCTTCAATAAACCAAGCAATCCTCAGCTATGGAAGTCTTAGATACCTTCTGGAGTGTTAACTACTTCCAGAACATGTTTTTACAAATACTGTTTTCATCTTGTTCTTGGTTGTGTCTTAACTTTTGGGTTATTAGTGTCTTTGTCTTTCTCCATTTCCAGTTCTTTGCAGTGTTACGTATTTTTTTACAGGGTAAGGCAGTAATTTTCCTAAAGATTATTGAATTTCTTCCAGCTCCCTGTTGTCCCAAAGTTATTTGGGGAATGCAGGTGGCTGGGAAGGGGAAGAGTTAATGTGAATTGAAAAAAGAATTGTATTATACTCAAACTTTTGTATGTTATAGTCAATAAGTAATGTATCTTATACATACTCATCAAGTAATCAGTGTAACTAAACCAGTGGAATATCGATCAGTAATCCAAGACCATCAATTGATACATAATATTAACAGATTTATAATTATTTAATATTTCTTAATCTTTATTCCTCTTTGTTTTAATTTGTTTATGGGGTTTTTAATATTTATTCAGCTTTCAGTAAGATGCATTAGTCTGTCTTTTTGCTTTCTAGACAAACTATGAAAACAGAATATACAGTCTGAAAGTAGAGTGTGGACCTAAATATCCAGAAGCACCTCCTACAGTTAGATTTGTAACTAAAATTAATATGAATGGAATAAATAATTCCAATGGAATGGTAAGTTGAAATGGTAAGATCGACCATGCTACTAATCTGTGTTATATATTCTGTGAAAAACTCAAATGAGGAATATGCTTGTTGGACACAGCTTTCATATTTAAATTTTACAGTATTAAGTACTGGCATCGATTAAAAAAAAATAGGTTGACTGCTACTTCACGTCTTTATTTACAGTATACTAGTGGTTCTTAGTGGCTTATCAGTGGGACAAACATTATTTATAGTATTAAACCAGTTTCTTTTAAATGAAGCTGAAGATTTTATTTTTGAACAGAAAAAAAAAAAGTTTGTGTGGTGTAGGTATTTCCCTTGTAATACACTCATAAAAGGGGGTTAGGTTCATACTGTAACGGGATTATTACAGACTTTATCTGATGTTTCTGTTAGTTAAAAATGGAGGTTATTTGTAATGAGTCTCACTCAGGATGTAGTAATTTATCTGTAATGAACCAATGTATTTAAACTCTTTATTTTCTTTGTACTGAGTTTATTCAAATCCAAGGTGACTCTGAGCTTCAGTATTAAAATCTTTTGATACAGATGGTAATCGCTTTTATTTTAAATATCAATTTGCACTAAATTACTTTCATTGATTCCACACTTAGTGGTGTGATAAGTTCACATACATGAGCAATGGCAGCAGCTTAAGCAAGTTTGTTACGCCATTATTCAGTAGGTAGTTTAATCATGGAATCGGAAAATGCTTTGGGTTGGAAGGGACTTTAAAGCTCATCTAGTTCTGTCACCCCTGCCATGGGCAGGGACATGTTGCAGTAGACCTGGTTGCTCAAAGCCCCATCCAGTTGGGCCTTGGACACTGCCAGGGATGGAGCAGCCACAGTGTCTCTGGGCAGCCTGTTCCAGTGTCTCACTACCCTCACAGTTAAGAAATTCTTCCTAATATCTAATCTAATTCTCCCCTCTTCCAGCCTAACGCCATTCCCACTTATCCTATCCCTACAGTCTCTTGAAAGAAGTCCCTCTTCAGATCTACTGTCAGTCCCCTTTTAGGCACTGGAAGCTGCTCTAAGGTCTCTCCAGAGCCTTCTCTTCTCCAGGCTGAACAGCCCCAACTCTCTCAGCCTGTTCTCATAGGAGAGGTGCAAATCCTGTGAGTTAAGTCTGAGGTTCCAAATGGCTCAGTGAAGAGGCATGAGCCGTTTTGCATTTGCAGTGGTATATGTGTATATTAGCAGGAAATACAGTAATATATTACACTTGTCTGAATGTACGTTTGTCTTTACTGAACACAAAGTAATTGAATTAAGGTAATACTTAGAGGTGAGTCAAATGATTATGAATCAGTAAAGAAGTATGGTCTTGTTACTTCATCTATGCATGTCTGAGAGCATAGGTGTTGGCTTCCAGAAGCAGAACTTCAGACCTACAGAGCCTTGTAGGCTGTTTACCAAGCCAGTTGGCTTTATCTTCTGTTTGGAGAAGCGTCCACTCCCTCAGTTTGCTGAGGAACAGCGTGAATACTGTGACAGGAAATTGACCTGGTGTTTTTAAAAGCAGTGTTAAAATCCAGTCATTGCTACAGGAAAATTTGATTTTAATAAGATTATAAGCTCATGCAAAACCTTCATTCAGTTTTTCCCCAGCAGTTCTGTAAACTAATGTTTTATGAAGGATTTGCTATGCAGAGGAGTAGCTTATTTTTTAAATGGATTTAAATAGGACGAGATAATATATTTAATGAAAACAGTTTTCGTAACTACTGAATTTTAAACACACTTATTATGTAATTTTTAATGTGCCCATTGTCCCGGTGTCTCGCATTTTAGCTTATTTAGTGAGCGCTGTTGTGCTCACTAGAAATGTCAGATAAACTGGGGACATGTTCAGCATTTTGGAATAGTTCATGTTGCTGCTTCCTGTTTTAATTCCTTCTTATTTCTTCCAAGTTGCTCTCCCATTCTCTGTTCGCCTTTCATTTAATAGATCACAAGTGGTTTGCTGCATTATTTGACTGAATGATAATGTTTCATTCTCAGACAAGCATTACTACCTATGCTTCTGCATGAACCCTGTTTTTTGACATATGGCCAGCTTTTGATTATGTTGATTATAGATGTCATGAGAAGGTTGGTGGCTTGCAGAATAGAGTCCTGAGATAAACAGCAGCCAAAATCGTGTCATAGCAATATGCTCAAAACATCTGTAACATTGTTAAGGTACACTTTACAGGAGATGTGTGCTAGTTAACACCTGAGGAAAAGCAGGTTAGAGGGTGATAATTTCTGTTGAGTTGGAGTATAAATAGTGGAGGGGGGAGATGGATGTGTGCTAGAGTTACAAGGGGTCCTAAGGAAGCTGGTCTTACACTGCCCTGTTGGCAGTGGTTCTTGGTCTTCTTGACTTACAAGTCCCTTTATGCTTTGCATGGAAATTGCACATGTGCAGTGAATTTATCGATACTCATGCTTGCAAGTTTATTGACTCTTTGATTATTCTGAGAGTGCAGTTTGGCTTGTGCTGCTGATGGAAGCGTTTCTTACGTGTCAGGGATTCCAGAGATCACTGTTTGATAAATTTAGTGCAGGAAAGGAGAGGACTACTTCAGCAGTTTTTTATCTCAAGACTTCTTAGGTGCTCTGAGTCACCCTGTTAAATTATCTTCCTTATTTGCAGGTTAGTTTTTGTGGCTTTCTGCTCTTCAGTTTGCCTATGGAGTTAATGCATATACAGAACTAAAGTACCTCCAGTCCAAGCACTTATACAGTGCTGGACAAAATGCCTTTATGTGCTAATGGCATTGGTATTGTGAAACTGTATTTTATCATTCTTAGTGCTGCAGGGTCTTTCCTTTTGGAGGCTTGTGTATCCTGTATCAATAAAACACAGGTTGCATTCTGACATGCTGTTCATTTTCCTGTGGTCTTTTGAGCATGTCTGATATTTGCGTTTATGAGAGCTCTTTTGTAGTCTGTCTTTCAGGATTTGCAGTCACTTCTGTACATTTAGATACTGTTCACAGCTGGAAATACTTGTTTCCTTTAACTCGAGACTGTCAGCTATAAACCTGTATACTGTTGTTCAGTTATTGCCTTGAGTATGCTTATTGTAAACTAAGCAGTTTGCTACTTCTTGAAGTTAAGATATTGGGAAAGTTATAAACAATACTTTTCATCATTGTGTAAAATTAAATAATTTCAAGTGCTTAGAAAAAGTAAGAATTGTACTTGTTGCTTCTCTTGCTGTTGTTAAGGATTTAGAATGGTGCATCCCCAGAATAAAACAGTCTACAGGCTGCAGTTTTCAGCTTAATTAGGTTTTATGTGGCCTTGAAATTTCTCCCATTGTTCCAGAATGTGTACTTTAATCTTACCCGATGCTTTTGTGATTTGAACACAGTTTGTGTCATTCTTCCAAATATTTTGTCATTGTTCTGCAGAAAGTGAATTTATTGTGCACTAACTTGGAAATAAATTCTGCACACAAAACAGAACCTGAGCCAAAATCTTTGCTGCTGCAAGATGTCATGAAAAACTTGGTGACTTGCAGAAAAGAGACTTGAGATAAACAGGAACAAAAGTGTGGTGTTGCAGCAGTCTGTAGTCAGAAAACATTTGTAACACTTAAAGCAGAGTTTACAGTCTGTGAGTTTGTTGTTAAAAATTCCCAGCTAAGAAACAAAAGCTGGAGGAGCTTACTTTTAAGTGATCAGGCCTTACATCCCAGTACAGCTGGTATATGTAGAATTGCATTGTTTGAACAGCGCTTGTGACTTGACTGCTATGTGCTGTAGATGAGGTAGATCTCCGAACTTAAGAGAGCCTGCAAAGTTGAGAAGGAAGAGTCCCAGAGCAACTGCCTTTCCAGATGTGTTTTTTTTACTAACGCAGTCTTTGTCTGAACAGATAACTGTTAGTTTTCTTTCTCAGACTTACTGAAGTCTAAAACTACTTTGTTCTTATTCATGTTGGTTTACCAGTGGTCATCTAAACCAGTTGATTATCATGTGGGCTTCCACCCCCAGGTGCACATCTTTCCTGGCTGGGAATCTTCTGTTGCAGTCATTACCTGGTCCTTTATAGTCATTTACTGTGGCTTCTTTCCCCCCATGTTTTTTTTGAGGGAGACTACTGATTTTTTTGTTTTGTTTAGACAGGTCAGTGACACATGATGTGATCTCAGCTACTTTAGCAGAAAGTATTGTGATTGATTAACATGGAAATTTTCTAAACTCCTGGTCTGCCAACGAACATTTACCAAAGCATTCAGGGAGTACTCTCACATTTTGCTTCGTTTTGCCAAATTGAAGAGGATGTCAGGTTAGCTGCAGAGAAGTAGTAACAAATGTTAGTAAGTGTTTCTGTGTGAGAGAGGGGAGAAAATAAGCTCTTAAACATCTGCAGCTCTATGCTAAGTGAACATAAGAACTGAACCCTTATAGCTTTTGTTATCATGATACTTAACCACCATGAAGTTTTTCTTCTTTCTGTAGAATCCCATGAGGGAAAATGGTTGTCTCTACATGTCTCTTGGCATTTTCTATGTGGAAAACAATTTTGAGTACTGTGACATTTACTATTGTAACTTATGAAAAGGATTAAAGTTTTCCTTAGTTTGCTAGGTCCAGTTTGTTGGATAGAAATGCTGGAGTGTTCTTTAACCTTATTTGGAAGGATTGGAGAGGAAGAGCTCTTTAAGAGCTTGGTACCTCAGAACAAAGATTCAGGCTAAATGATGCATTACTGAAGATGCTACTTGATAGCATGGGTGATCTTTTATCAGAATTTACCTTTTACTCACTCCTGGTTTTATCTAATAGTCTGCTTTTTAAGAAGAGAACCTGTTTTCCGGTTGCAAAGGTTATGCTTCTCTGACATTACCTCTTATCTACCATATTAAAACAAATACCCCTTTAAAATATAGTAGCAGTGAAGGAATTAGAGTGATGACTAGTGTTACTTTCAAAACTTTTCTGTATTGGCTCTTACACTTGTGTATTTTAAACTGGCACAATCTTGCTGCATAATGGAGCTTTCCTTCTGATGCTTTTTTTTCTTCCTAATTTATTAATGTTTGCAGTAATTATTAAATAATCTGACTGCCTTTTGTACTGTGCTTTGATGTTAGGCAGTCTTTGGCAACTCTGCTGACTTAAAGGGGCTCTCAACTCTGAGCAGAGCATTATTTGCGTGAAGAGAAATGCTTGTAGTGCTGAGATGTGAATTGGATGAAGGATCCTGATTAGGGACTCCTTTCCAAGGTGTTCTTGTTTCTGTTTTGGATTTTTAAACTTGGTGGGTTCTATCAGGTCAGGTCAGAAAGTAGCTCCACATAGATTTCACGGTTCACCTGAGCTGATAAGCAGTAGGGCTGTTAAAGGAACAAGTGCCTATTGAGAGGGAGCAGAAGTTAGTATTGCTGGCCAAGCCAGCATGCTGTTAAACCTTGGCCTGTTTCCTCCTACAAAAAGGTTTAGTCTCATTTGTTGTTCTGAAAATAGACAGCCTCACTTCAAACAATCTAGAAATAAACCATCTGTGTTAGTGTTCGTGTTTCTGGTTCCAGTGTTGTTTTTTTCTTTGTTTGCCCTAAATAAGATGGGATAAGAAACTTCTTGATGTTTTGTGCTGACTAAATCATAAAGCAATGGTTTTCAGCACTTTCATAGCTGTGTGGGCTGCTTGTGCTACTCTGCCAGTGGAGTTTAGTACCGTGCAATAGCCCTATTCCTGCCCATGGTCCTTCTTTGCAGTTGTACAGCTGTAGCCCCCTTTGTCTTTTTAAGTTCCTCCTTGCAGGGGCTGGGTGGCCAGGAGTTACCTGCTGCCAAAAACAGTTCCCAAGCTGACTTTCAATTGCTAATTTTTCTATGGAAAACTCCCTGTTATAATATAATTGTGTAAATTGTCCCACAGGTTTTATAAACGCATAGGAGAAGTCCCATGTCCTTTCCTTTCAGTTCATATTCAAATTGGTAAGTGATGTACAGTAATATTCACAGCTCCATAAGATGACTTACTGTAAGAAGGATGCAAAGAACTAAGAAATGTCCAAACATTATGAATCAGTTATCCCAGTATTTCAAGCCATTTCTTAGTGTATGTAGTGACTCTTAATGTATCAGAAGCATCATGTAATATTAATATGAAATAAATCACTGATGATACTTGTAGCAAAGGAAAAACAAGGGAAGTTTTCCTTTAGAAGGGTATTCTATGGACTCCTGTGTGACAGGTTCTTTTAAAGAACCGAGGAAAACCCAGGTGTATGTATTGGCATAATGAAGGTGATTACTTTTTTCTTTTTTGGGGGATAATTTGAAACAAATTAATGTATTTTACAAGATACGGTTCCAGTTTTGCAGTGAAAAGTTGGCTGATGTCTTCCTCTCCCCCCACCCCTTTCCTTCTCACTAATACTAGTATCAGCGCAGATGGAAGGGTCCACCTGCATGGATTTTATTACAGAGTCTGTGTCTGTGTGTAAGTATATGATTGTTTTCCTTAAACTATATTATGAACACAGGGACTTTATGCCACAGAAAAAGTGTCAGGGAATGCTTAGACCCTTTCTTAGAACAATTAAGTTAATAGCAGTTATTTATGTAGAGATGTTTCATTTCATCATAACTTGCAACTCTCTCTTCTTTTTCCAGGTGGATGCACGGAGCATACCAGTGTTAGCAAAATGGCAAAATTCTTATAGCATTAAAGTTGTACTTCAAGAGCTAAGACGTCTAATGATGTCCAAAGAAAATATGAAGCTTCCACAACCTCCAGAGGGACAAACTTACAACAATTAATTTTAGCTGATTCTCAAACTTCTGTCTTAAAACAACAACCTTCTACTCATGTTAATGTCTTGATTAAATCTCACAATGCAAACACCCACACATTAAAAGAATTTCAGCTGGTATACATGACCTGGACATTTGTAAGAATATATATAATATATGTATGCCCAATATGTTTTCAGGCACTATGGGAGAAAAAGGCAGCACAATTATTTTTTTCTCTTACTGAGGCACTGCATTTAAGCATAAGCCTGAAGTCAACTAAAATTGGAATTCAGGTTTTACAAGATGAAAGCATGACAGAAAGTGTCAGGTTGCTGTGGAATAATGTATGTTTCTGAAAATAATCTCTTGAGAAGGCAAAATATAAATGGCATGCTTTATCCATCTTGCTTAGTAAAAGAGCTGCAGTTAAATTTGTTTTAAAGTAGCAGGTACAGTGAATACCGTTGCTCATCCTGTTTAATTTTGCAAGGGTGTGGGTGCCGACTACTAGTAGTGTCACAAAGTATGTTCAGGATTGTTTTGATACCTGTATTTATAAAATGGGGGGGATTAATTTCTGTTAAGCAGCTCCTGTGTGTTACATGTATCGGACATGGTAAATATTTGTTTACAGTCTTTGTTCTAATAAACCATGCATTTAAGTTTTAGTGAAACAAAGGAAATGTATGGCTATGTGATTGAGATTAAAGTTAGTCTTAAAATGTAAATAAAATGTGGAAAGTGTCTGAGGCTGTGCCATTTCTATAATAGTGATGTAATATATGTACAGTATCTTGCAGAAGTAGTGGAAAGCCAAACATAATATTGCTGCTGGTTTTACGTGCACCTTTTATTCTTACCACTTTTGTATGCTTAGTTTACTTGAGAGGTCAAGGTATTCTGTTTGTTGCAGGGAGTAAGTTCTTTCATCTATAGTATCATTCATTTAGACAAGCTCGCACTCTTATGTGTGTGTACATATACATATATTTGAAAAAAACCAAACAGTAACTCCAGAATAAAACCAGGAAACCCTTGCTGTCCACATCCCCTCCAGATTCTTTTGAGAAATGAGCATAACTTTCATTTTGCGTACTTGACCTCTGAGCAGTCTTCAGACCACATTGCTGCAGTCTGTCTTATTTCTTAGCCCTCTGTCTTGCTTTTGCAGTTCCTACCTTGATTCTTGCTTTCTTGCATCTTTTAGTCTTTTATGTTTCTTGTATTTATTTTTCTTCCTTGTCTGTTCCACTTTTGCCTTTTCTGAAACACGTAAAAAAATTCAGGAAGCTTTAATAAAAATTACACCTGTGGTACAGATCATCATATATCCATCTGTATACCATGTATCATATACCATGACACTACTGTCTTTGTGGCTAGAGTGCTTTCTGTCTCCTGCAATAGTTGGTCTGGTTTTCTCAATGTAGTCTGTCCAGTGCAAACAGTGATTTTAGTTCTCTTACTGATTTCTCATGAGAAAGTAGTTAATAGTATCCTTTTGGAAATGATACCTTTTCTCATCTCTCTTCCCCCCTTGGAAAATACAAGCCTTTGTTCATTTTGGTGAGAACATGTAACATGGGGAGCGAGTCAAATATTTGAATTCAAATTTTTATTTACTGTTTCTTTTGAAAAAATGAATATAATCAAAAGCCATCAACAGCCAGGTTACTTTCATTGATATGCCTTTGCCTATGTCTGATGTAAAGAACCAATCTTTGAAAGCAATAAACTAGGTGTTCTCTTTTTTTAATGGAAAGGTTTAATTAGTATTTGTGAGTTTATGGTTTTTAGAGAGATTTGACGCTTCCGGAATTGGTGGATTTGTAGCTGCCAGCTACCTCGTGTCTGTATTTATCTAACATATCATTTGTGACGGTTTGGCTGAAGTGCATTGCAGCGTTTTCTTACTTCATTTAATTTGAAGGATTTTGATGCCATTAAATCTTTTTTCTTACACTAACACTGCTAATCTATATTTAACCAATTAAAATAATGGAACTGTACAGTTCTGAGATGTGAGTTTTTGGAAACATTTCAGCATAAACTATTGAGAGAGTGAGAAATAACTCATAGACTATTATGTGGTTGGTAACATAATGTAAGAGACTGACTTATTCACAGAGCATGAAAAAGGGCTGGTTGTTGGTTGTATGTGGTGCAAGTTGATCCCACAATAGTTATTTCTCCTTGTTCATTCTTGCACCATTTGTATCTTGTGAAAATCTGCATATCCAGCTATAAGCAGATGCCTTTTGTGGAACGGGGAAAAAGTTGGTGGAGGGAGCTGACCTGATGTTTGACACCAGGGTAGGTAATAGAAAGGATGATTATAAAAATATTTCTGCAGTGATTTCAAATATATTGCTTTCACGTTTTGCTAACACTGGAACAAGATGAAGTGTAATTAATTATGAAATTTAAAATGACTACTGCATAAAGTTGAGAGCCTCCTCTAAAACTCTCATTACCTAAAGAAGGTTTTGAAGTGCTGCCGCTTGCTCTCCTCCAGAAAGGTTACGTTGTTTTACAGTTGTCTATGGCTGAGGGGTGTTTACTTAGTAATTTGTTTTCTCATATTCTTGTAGTTTCTCTTCGGTAACCTACTTAGATGCCAGAATTTTAATTTTCCTCTTAAGAGTGTTTAGTTATGTTCTTTTTGCAAGATTTGGATTTGCTGTTGTTAGCAAATGTGGGGGTTTTTTCTTCTCAAAACTGTATTTGTACATCTTGCAAAGTAGAGCACCGTTTTAAGCTGATTGTGTGAGGGGCAAAGTGCAAAAGTTCTAAAAATAATGTTTTTATCAAATTGCATTTGAAAATTTATATCATGTTGGTGGACATCAACTGGGATTTAAACTAACTGTGCTCTGAAGCATTGCCAAAGTTCTTGCGTTTTGGTTGGTTGAGGGATGAAGCAATGAAAAAAACCAACCCCAAAGATGGTACGATTCATGCTTTGTAAACCTTAAGACAGAACGAGCAAGCCTGTGGAAATACCCATGTTACCAAAACTGTGCCTTAATCGTTGATAAATAAGTCCATAAAATATTGCAAGGTGTGCACCTACCACCTACCTTGATGGTGCTCATCGCCTGAAAGCAAGTTGAGAATACTTCACACACAGCAAGACAGTCAGGAATCAATCCTTCAACTATTACAAAATAAATGCATAATGCACATTCCTCCTAAATGTTTTTTATTGTATAGGGGATACGGAATTAAAATTCTAGTGACAGTTGATCAACACTAATAATAATAGTAATAAACTGTGTAATTTAGGCAAGTGTTTGTGTTTTACATGCTTATGTACATGGTGAGTTTGTAGAAATGTATGTCCTATTCAGTAGCTTTCAGGACAATAATCCTGGGCTTAGAAATATTTATTACACTTCCCTTACACTGCCTTTTGATGCAGAAGGCTTCTCTATTACACCTGGTAATCATGAGAAAGACAGGATGTCTGACTACTACTGTCTTTAGTCTGATCTTTAGTTTTTGGAAACATCCAGATTGCCCCTGGTGTGGCAAGTCTCAGCTGCTGGATGAGGAGGAATAAACTGGTATTAAGCAAGTCTGAATATGTATTACTGTAGCAAAAAAGAGTGACTTAAAACTCTACTGATGGTCTTCTATGAAATCCCAGGTAGAAGTGGAACAGTGGGACAAAGTAATTTCTCAAACTTTCAGTGATGTGTTCACAACTCTTTTGTGATGCCTGTGAGGATTTCTGAGGTGGGAGAGGTGTTGGAGGAGCATGTTGAATGCCTGTTTTCTTCAATAATAATAAAAGAATCATTTAAAAATTTTAATGCATCTGTGTGAACTCTACATAACGGAACAACTGTGGGAAAGGGGTTTCTTCTTTCCTGTTCTGACGATTGTGTTATTTCCTAAAACAGTGTATTACACATTTGCTATTGCAGACCCAACTGATCATGGGCTAAAGTAATATGAAGGATGTATGTATTCTGTGTAGTGCTAGAAGTACGAAAATAACTTGCTTACGCTGCTCAAAAAAAATACCCCAAAACCCAAAAGGACACATTTCACTAGCTAATCTCAAATTCCATAGGAATGAGTATTCCATTCAGTGGTTAAAATATCAGCTTTTTACATTACCTTGGTGTTAGTATGGTTTATAACCTTTTTTTTTTAATGGGTGTGTCTCTTGAGCTGAATTGATAAACTTGTAAGTGAATATACAGTGAATTTCATTCTATAAAATATATACTAGCTCTCAAGTAGCATTCTCATATTCAAAGCATTGCACGAAGTTTTTCAGTCCTTACCATTTTAAAATAGCGTAAATATAAATGGCCTTTTATCATTTATACTCGTGCCAAACAGTATATATGGGTAACTTAATGGATGATGTTGGGATATTGCACAAATACCAGTGCTTGGGATCTCTTGATGTAATGCATGTTTTCTGTACTTGTTTATGACTTTCCATCATTTCTTGATTGAAGCATCCCAACCTTCTGCTTTTAATGTATTCAATATGGATAAAATGTAAACATAGGTTTATAATATGTAAACTATGCAGTTTGGGTTTTAAAACCCCAACAAGCTATATATTTCTTAACTCAGAAATACTGAAGGAATTGTTATGCAGAAATAAACAAGGTTTTCATCAGCTGCATTGTGCACAATCCTACTCTTGTCACTGATGATATTATAATGTAGGTATGCTCATTTTAGCACATCAGCTGTTCTGATTTTTAGTTATATTGCTACTATAATTTCAAGCATGCAGGAATGAGAAAGGGGGGAAGGATTTATTTTCTGTCTGCAATTTCTACTGATGAAAGATTATCAAGAAGAAATCTGGTAGAGGTAAACACATCTGTTATTGACTTGAGAATAGATAATGAAAAATTAGCAATTTTTTTCCTATTGTCACAGGAATAAAAGCTGTTACAATTAAGATGAGAGCAGCTCAAACAGTAAAGCAGTGAAGTTATCATAAAGGTTGTGTGGGAGAGTGTTTCTAGCAGATCTTTGCAGTGTTGTGGAAGTTAGGTTCATATGGGAGAGAGGGTTGAGCCTCACAGCATGGCTTTTAGAGGTGAACTAGCACTTGGAGCTCCTTAAATTTATCCTGACAGGACTTAACCCAGTTGTACAAATTTCTTACTTTTGGGGGGAGAGAATATTTGTGCATTCATTAAACATTGTGGTGAAGTGCAGCAGGCTGAGATGATTCCATTTCCTTTAGGTTTTGCTATGGAAAGCTTGCCACCACGAGGAGCTGTGTAAACCAAATGCATGGAAGTGTGGGATCCTGACAGCTGGCTATTTAGTTCCCAGGTTAATCTAAGTGATGGTGATTTGAAGTTCAGATATGTGTATGTAGTTAATAAACTCAGTACTACTAATGAGGAAAAAATCTATGCTAAATGCTTTTGGTGGTATCCAGTGAATTGCCAACAACCCTGATCCCTGCCTTTTCTGGCTAACATTTTCTTCCACTGTTTGTTGTTTGCTGGATTGCAGTTTCAGGAAAGAGCATTATTTCTCATCTCTGAGTGCTGAACTTTGAACTACAAGACCATTTGCTTCTGAGACGTCTCTAAAATAGCTCCTTGCCACAACATTGCAGATTTGGGACCTGTGGAGGTAGTCGTAGTCGTCTTGGTTTGTGTTTTCGGAAAACCATTTCCTGTCATATGTACATATTTTTTTCTGTATGAAGATTCACCGATTAAATTTATGATCTCATATGGTACTGCTAACCT